GTTTTTCCTCGAAGCACTGATACACGGGGCCTCACATGGACAAAGTGTATTGACAATCAGAGTCTTACATTTCAATATGCGCACACACTGCATTACTTAAACTGACACTAAACGCAGGAGGTAAATCTTAAAAATGCATTCATGTACCTGAACTATTACCAGTATATGGACCTTATTTGTGTATCTATTGCTTATTTGTATCTAGGTTCAAAAATAATAAATAAAAAAAACAGAAGAAGAAGTTCTACACACCGGAACCTCAGAGCCGGCTGGCTGTGACACCATTCCCTCCACTGCAGCGATGGTATGTCCCTCGGTGTTCTCACGCTATACACGGTATAGAAAATAATGATTTGAGGATCCCTAGACCGCTGCAGTGGAGGGGGAGTGAGGTGGAAGGTACCAGTCTAAGAACCGGCCGGCTGCTAAGATTAGGCATGTATAACTTTTTTCTTTAACCTAGACACAAACTAGCACTTATAACTTTTTTTTTTAAACATGGACAAAAAGGAGCAGTTAACCCTTGCAGTGCAGGGATAGCCCCACTTCAGGGGTTAATACAAAAATGTTCCTGGATTTCTTCTTTAAAGCTGAACTCCAGGCAAACTTACACGTACGCGGTGGAAACATAGCAGTGTTTTACCTGCTACAGGATTTGTACTTGTGCTTGGACAGTGTCGTCCTGCAGGCACCCCTGCCAGAAAGATGAATAAGGACAGGGACCCCAGTTTTCTCTGCAACAATTAGGCAATTCAGCTTGGTCACAACCTGCCCCAGCCTGTGATTGGATAATAAAATTATAAGCAGCACACTGATGAGTTCACTGCTTTGTCTTTTCCTCGTGAGAGCATGTTAGAGGCCTGACTGGTGTAGTGGTGACTGGTATAGTGGATTGTAGCGGAGACTGGTTTAGTGTATTGTAGCAGTGACTGGTGTAGTGTATTGTAGTGGTGACTGGTATAGTGGATTGTAGTGGTGACTGGTGCAGTGGATTGTACCGGTGACTGGTATAGTGGATTGTACCGGTGACTGGTATAGTGGATTGTAGCGGTGACTGGTATAGTGGATTGTAGCGGTGACTGGTATAGTGGATTGTAGCGGAGACTGGTGTAGTGTATTGTAGTGGTGACTGGTGCAGTGGATTGTACCGGTGAGTAGTATTGTGGATTGTAGCGGTGACTGGTGCAGTGGATCGTAGCGGAGACTGGTGTAGTGGATTGTAGTGGTGACTGGTGCAGTGGATTGTAGTGGTGACTGGTGCAGTGGATTGTACCGGTGACTGGTATAGTGGATTGTACCGGTGACTGGTATAGTGGATTGTACCGGTGACTGGTATAGTGGATTGTAGCGGTGACTGGTGCAGTGGAATACAAAAAACTGATGTTTATACTATTTCTATATGAACATTAAACAAATAATAAAACCAACAATGACTGGGTTATATTTTTATGCCGTATGTCTGGAGTTCAGCCTCAAGTGCATTTATGATAATTTCTACATAAACATATGACAATCTTAAAGTGACCCCGACCTAAAATGTTTATAAGGAAACAACAGTGCTGGAGGGAAAGCTCCTTGTGGTACACCCCCTACCTCTTCCCCGGACACACGCATGCACGCAAATTGTCAAATGAGAGAATGCCTGTGGGCAGTAAAGGCTTTAGCATTTGACCGCTGAATGATAGGGGACGGGGTTAGTGTCAGGAAGGGGTGGGACTAAAGCCTGCCTACGGCAGAAGTGGAATCTTCATGTACAGCCTGGGTATAAGATTTTAGAGGCCCGACGACCACCATAGGTACTTGCTAGCACAAAAAGATCCCTGCATTTCAACACTATTCTTATTATATAAACAATTCAGACACATCAGGTTTAATGTACAGAATATCAATCTGTACTCATGATTCAAAAACCTCTTTTCAATGTATAGTAGGTACATAGGGACAGTTCTAATTAGGCTGTATGATGTAAACATGATACATAAAAGGAGTATAAAAACGTGAAGCATATTTTAAAGATAAACCTTCCAATAGTAACTGTTAATACATTTCCCTTTCAAAAGACCTTCTACATACATTCTGAAAGCAAATTCTATACAAGACCTTATCTGGTCACTGAAGGTGCCACCCTTTCATTTAATTATTTTCAAGCAATGCATAGACCAGGAGTAGGCAACCTCGGCACTTCGGTTGATGGGGAACTACAAGTCCCATGATGCATTGCAAGACAGACACACAGCCACAACGAGATTTGTAGTTTTACCACAGCTGGAGTGCCGAGGTTGCCTACCATGGTATAGCCCATCAGTGGGAATCTGAATTTCGACTTGTGACTTTCTATGCATGATCATACACGATTTAAAAATCACAAGCTGAATAGATAAACCTTGTTCCATTTAAAAGGTACATTCCACTAAGTAGCAGTGGTCACATGACTCATTCCATTCCTGGTGGTTCACATCATCTACCTATTAAAAGCCGACTCAACCCTTGCTTGTGGCAACTGCCGTCTGCATCTCTGCAGTTGGTGACATTGATTATTCACTTGAGCGCAGCTTTTCCCTTCGGAACAAAATAAAAAAACTTAATTGTTGACTGTACACTAGAGAAATGACGGCTTTAACCTGATTGGATGCCAGGAGAAACTTTGCTACAAACTACTTTTATAGAAGACACAAGTTGCTTTATCAGGGTGCCTAATGCTGGCCATACGCGTGTTGATTTTCTGAGTGACTATTAGTTCCAATCTTTTTGCTTTTCGATTAGTTATCAGAATCAAATCAGTTTCACTCAACACAGATGATACATCTGCCTGCATCAGTCTGATCACCTTCAATGTCAGATGCTTAGCGGAAGAAGAAGAAAACGTTCTCTAAGCATCTGTTCGCTTTCATCTTTGAACTTGCAGATTTGAAAGAGACTGGAAAGGCAATACAAATTTAATAATCATTTCTAGATCCGATTAGAGTATTGAAACCAGAGGCGTAGCTAGCTCCTTTTACGCCTGAGGCAAGAACAGAAAATTGTGCCCCCCAACACACATGGTTTTTTTTTTTTAATCTTATTTTTTATTCTAATAATGTTTTACTGTTGGGGGGCTTTGGAGAAATATCAGGGGTCTAAGCAGACCCCTGACATTTCCCTTTTGAAATAGAAAAAGAGATTGAGGACACAGAGTCCTCTGCCCATACAGGCCGGGGGAGAGCAGCGAAGATCCGAGGAGAAGCTGGAGCCTGTGCAGCTCCTCTTCTCTTTGATGTGCCTGGCGCCACCTGTTGACTATGGCGCCCTGTGCTCACCATGGCAAAAGGGGCGCAGCCAGGCCGGCCCTGGCTGCACCCCCTCTCAGCTGTGCCTGAGGCGAGTGCCTCACTCGCCCCATGGTAGCTAGAGCCCTGATTGAAACATTTGTCTCATTAAACAGATACTTGGTCACTTAAACCATTCAGGCCAAAGCGACAGCGACTGAGTAAGGGGCCCCCCCGAACCCACTAATGCTCACCTTTCCAGTGTTCCACAGTTGTGGACATAAAATAAAATTTTGTTTTAACCCTTGCAGTGAGGCTGCAAGGGTTAAGTGCTCGTTTTTGTGTCTAGGTGCTAAAAAAGAAAAAAAAAAAAAAGTTATATACCTCACCTGAGACGCAGCCGGCTTGTTCTTAGACCAGTCCTTCCAGCCTCTCTCCCAATCCTCTGCAACGGTCTAAGGTCCTATACATCATCAACACAGTGTATAGGACATGGGGACACTGAGGAAACATTCCCATGCTGCAGTGAAGACAAGCTTCAGAGATTGGAGAAGCAGGGAGCCGGCTCAGCAGGTCAGGTGAGTATAACTTTTTTTTAGCATAGACAAAAATGGGCAGTTAAAAGGAGAACTATGAGGTGAATGATTTTCACTCAGCCTCATAGTTTGAGCTGACTTGTGACAATGAAACTGTCACACGTTGGCTCAATATATCGGGAAGTGAGCGAACCCATACCATCGCTCGCTCACTTCTCGGATCATCTCCCTGTACAGTGCACTGACTGTCACTCACAGCTCCCTGCAGGGATTCCCCCACCTCCCCGCTCCGATCCTCCAGCGCTGACTGGCGGAACGGACGGGGGAGGTACAGCTGGCTCTGCCTCTAGATAGGCGGGGCCAACTGTCAATCACCCAGCTGGGTAGATCTCGACAGTAATGTCGGGATCCGTCCCGGCTGCGGCGTCTCAGTATATTGCGAGCTGTAGCTCGCGGTATACTGAGCTTTGGGTCACAGGAGGATGCTATTTTATGTCCTGACCCTTAGGAGAACTATGAGGAAAAACACTTACTCCATAGTTCTCTTTTAACTCTTGCAGTGGGGCTACCCCTGCACTGCAAGAGTTAAATAAAAGTTTTGCCCAGGGTTCTTCTTTAAGGGGAGTGATGATATCAATCCTTCTGTTATGCGATAGTGCTAAGGGCTAGTGATTGCTTGCCAGACCAAATCACTGCCACATAGGTGGAGGTCACATGCATCGGGGACTTCGCTGGCGCAGGCATTGGAAGGAGTGCTGGCAAGGTGAGCATCAGGGAGTCAGAGTGCCCCTTTCCACAGTCACTTGGCTCTGAACAGTTAAAATGAAAGCATTGCTTAAAACATTTGGATCAATTCAATACACATATGGCCACAGCTTAATAGGTTATAAGGCTACAGATTTCATTTCATAAAGATTTTTAAAATACAGTGGGGAAAAAAAAAAAACAAAATCAGATTTCAGTTTCCTGAAAGCAGATCAAATCAATCCTGAATGGCTGTTTAAAAAAGATTTGCCAAATAAGCAGCCATTAGTGTAAGTATGCGATCTCTGTACCATCATATTTGGGTAAACAATAACCTGATTCAGTCCTTAGTTCAGCTTCCCTATCAACTTACAGTTTCTTTTAGATGCGTTGATCATATCTATAAATGAACAATAAAATCAACACTGATTGAGAAAATAGAGTCATGTGATTGCTTTCACCTTCATAATTAAATGCGAGTAGTGAATCTTGATTTGAAATTTCTGATGCTTCCATGGTGCTTTGGGCCATCCAAAGTAGGAAGGGCACGGCACTGTTTTTGTTTTTTTGGCTGTAGTCTATATAGTTATTGGTGGTTCAGAAGCCAGTAAGGAGAGCCCAAGCTTGCACATACATGGTCAATGCACCATAAAATCCATTCAGAGTCTCTTGCTGGAGGTAAGGCCCATCTTAGTGGGTTACAGCTTGGATTTTGGAGTATGCTGAATCAGCTGCTGTATATCCAACAAAGCCTTTTCCAAATAGTGAGCCAACCTGGCCGCATTGGTTTCTGCACAGCTGTTAAACGCAGACACTGCAAAGTTGATATGCTCTTCCATGGGGTTGTAGCAAACGCCATATCCATCCGGGACCACGGGGCCGAAGCACATAACGCAGTCCGTCTTAGCAGGCACCTATGTGCAATATCAAAAAGATGTATAAGGCTTATTAAAAGAAAAATACAAATTAATTACTATAGATGCTTCTGGTGTGTTATACCTGGCTGGTGGAGAGATTAAAATGCATCGCAATGGCGTACGATGTGTCCATGAAGATTTCAGGAATGCTAACCAAATCCTCGATAGCTTGAAGTTTCAGTCCCAGTAAATGGCGGTCTATGGCCTTACCACTGATGGCCTGTCAGGGGAAGAAGAGGGAAGAGCTCTAGTTTAGGCATCATGTTGGTTGCCACCACTGGGATCTTGATCCCACCAGGGACATTGTATGACGTTCTATCTTCTTCTTCTGCTTGTCTGGGTGTCCTACCACAAACTAAAACCATGCAGATTGGTCAATCAAACTTCCACCCAGGCTGGGTATTAGATTGTAAACTCCATTGAAGGCAGAGATTGAAGTTAGTGGTCTTTGTACTCTGCAACCTGTTACATAATTTCTTACTGTATAAATAGAGAAATACATTTCATTTGTTTAGGAAAGAACTTTAGCTGGACACCACGGCCACAACTTTTTTTTTGCTTTTTGCAAGTAAGATTCCTTAACGTGCATCAGAGTATTGGCAAACCTGATTGTCCTGCATACCTACACCACCTGCAGCTATAACCTTCACCTAGTTATGCTGCCATCAGATGGGCCATACAACTTTAGAACGGAAAAAATCTAGCAGATTCCTCCCATCCATGCTAAAAGGCACGGCTGGTGGAATCTCCCACTGCAGCTACTGTATTTGGACATTTGGCCCAGTCAGCTGTCAAAATACCCGAGCAATGCCAGCATCTGATTAATTGCAGGCAGACAATTTTATGCCCAAATTCTTCAATTTTTCAATCAAAAGGATGTTGGGTGGGAGGCAGCAGACAGGGCCACCCACTGAGTGAATGCCAGCCGGTTCATCAAAAACCAGCAGAAATTCGCTCAGGCTTTGGCCAGCTTTAGAGTGGACCGAGCGTCCCATATATATTTTCTCATGTTAAAAGGAGAACTATGAGTTCGAGCCGAAGTGTGACAATGAAACTGGTCACACGTCGGCTCAATAGATCGAGAAGTGAGCGAACACATACCGTCGCTCAGCGCTGACTGGAGGAACGAACGGGGGAGGGGGCGGGTACACCTGGCTCTGCCTCTAGATAGGCAGAGCCAGCTGTCAATCACGCAGCTGGGTGGATCTCGACAGTAATGTCAGGATCTGTCCCGGCTGCGGCGGTCTCAGTATACCGCGAGCTGTAGCTCTTTGGGTCACGGGAGGACGCAAGTTTATGTCCTCCCGTGACCCTGAGGAGAACTATGGGGAAAAGCCCTGACCCCATAGTTCTCCTTTAAGTGTAGATATGCAAAGAAATTTGTAGATTTTTTACAGAGATTACAGGAAAATGCTTTTATTTGGTTTTGTAGGCAGAAGGACAAAGCCATCTCTGGTCAGATATCATCCAGGGTTACTATCTACTACCTGGACCGAGATGCTGGCTCAGAGATGACACCTTGTAACTTGCGGCAAAGTTACCATGTTACAGTCTGATCACTGGGGGAGAGGACACAGAGGATTTGCTTTTGCCTGCAGAAAACGAATGAGATCATCTCAGTCTAGGCAAAGTATCTCTGGTGAATGATTACAATCCTCTCAATTTTGTTTTTCTTTTTTTGTTTGTGCTCTGTGTGCTATTCGGGAGATTCCCTACTCTTCCTGTCCCAGAGACTCAACAGAAAGTAAGCAGAAATCTTTTCAAAGTGACAGGTGTCTCCAGTGGAAGATTTCTCCTGTTCCAGTGACAGCAAAAGGTTTGTCTGAAGATACTAGGAGATGCACTGAAATAAAATTTCAAAACCGAAATAAAAATAAAAAAAATATATATGTCGGGCCGAAACCAAAAATGTTTTTTATTTTAACTTTTTTTTCAAAAAAAATCATATTTTTTATAAATGTTTTAATTTTTTATATTTATTTTTATTTATTGATGCATTTTTTATTAAATATTTTTATTTTTTACTTTACTTCTAGGGGCTTTGGGGAAATATTAGGGGTCTAAACAGACCCCTGATATTTCCCTTTTAAAATAGAAAAAGAGATTGGGGACACAGAGTCCTCAATCTCTTTTTCTGCAGCCCCTGTTCTAAATGAACAGGAAGCCTCTATACTGAGTGTTCCTGATCATTCATAACATGAGGACAGAGTATGTTTACTATAACCACAATCATGAATGAGCAGCAGGGGATGTAGATCACTTCCCATTCATTCATAATTGAGGATATAGTAAACATACCATGTCCTCATTTACAAAGACTCTGGTCAGCGACTCTGAAAACGTTTAGGACAGAGGATCAATATGACAGACGGCCTACTAGCATTTTAGAAGGTTGCCGTCAATCACAGTCTATGTGTTTCCCTCTGTAGATTTCAATATTTTAAAATACTCTACAGCAGGGCTCAAAATTTGCGAGTGAAAATTGCGAGGGGGGCGAGTGGAAATTAAGCTATTGAGTCAGACACTCAGTCATGGACCGAGTTCCTGATGACTTGCCCGTATGCTGCTGCTCACAGCCGTGCATCTTCCCATATTAAAGATGGCCGCATGATGGCAGCCATCTTTACTAAGGTCCGTTTTTGTATCCTAGCGACAGCATAACTTCCAGCCTGCGCACCGAGGATTATGGGAGCTGTAGTTTCACTTTACAGAGCCACTGTGACAGCAGTGGGTGAGTGTGTCACGTAGGGGGTATTGGGTTAGGTTTTATTGCTGCGGTTCAGTGTGTGGGTTGGCATAGGGCACTGCCTCCTTAGGGGGCCCTGGTCATGCGCTGGAGAACAGGAAGCAGAGCGAGCTGGTGAGAGATGCTGCTCATCCACATTATCCACACTCTGTACCCATCTGGGTATCGAGTGCCTCTGCTAAAGGAGGCAGAAAGGGGCTAGCCATTTTGGAATGATAGAACACAAAATTCACGGACGTCACAATACAGGGGAAGCCCTGGGGTGAACTGGCAGACCACGGGAGGGGTCCCAACAGCTTACTGTGCCGCAGGCCCCATTCATGCAGCCTGGGCTGCAATAGCTATGCATGGGACCAGAGTTAGTCCCAAGTGTCAGGCCCCCGCCAGCAGGTAATTGAAGGGGACATAGAGATGGGTTGGGGTGCCGTGTGTGTGCTGTGGCTGCATGTGCATGTGTAATGTACTGTGTTCGTTGTGCTGTGGCTGCATGTGTAAAGTCCTGTGTTCGTTGTGCTCTGGCTGCATGTGCAATGTCCTGTGTTCGTTGTGCTGTGGCTGTATGTGTAATGTCCTGTGCGTTGTTTTGTGGCTATATGTGTAATGTACTGTGCCCCGTGCGTTGTGCTGGTGTGCTCTGTGTGTGTTTGTTTGCGATAAGCAGGGCAACTAGTGGCGAGTAACTTTTCAGGCCTGGCTAGTAGCTCATGACCTGAAATTTTGAGCCCTGCTCCACAGCATTGTGATCTTACTTGGTATGTGATCGTTACAATTTAATCTTACCGTGTCTGTGTAGGAACGATGCACTTGCACTGCTTTCCTCAGTAGATCCACTTTTTCTTGGTTCTGAGAATCAGGAAATAAAGCCACAATGATTAAATGTACAAACTACTAACATGATTCCAATAGAAACCAATGTTCATGAAACAGAAGAATCTTTATGTTCACTCCATTACCAATTGGTTATTTGAACTAAAAAAAAAATATATATATCATTGGCTGCAGTCACTGTTCGGCCAAAGATTGGCTCCTTCAACTTTAGTTGAAGGGGGGAATTGTTGACGGGTAGGGATGTCCCGATAGCACTTTTTTAAGACCAAGCACAAGTACTTGCTTTGGGAACATGTATTCTGAGAACACATGTCCGCACAACAGAATTCCTCTCACCAGGCTGCTCGTCGATCTCACCCGGGCAACATCCACGCCCGGACCAGCGATGCTGGGACCCGGCCTCCAGGGCCGGCGCTAGCGCAAGGCAAGACGGGCACTTGCCTTACGGCGCCAGGGAACAGGGCGGAAAAGTCACCCGATCGAGACCAGACTCAGTGTGTGGGCTGCGGGCGGGCGGCATCTGAAAGACGAGTCCCCGGCCACAGCGGCGCTGACCTCTGCAGTCACGTCTTAGAGACTCAGCGACACTCTCCTTGGATACGTCAGTGAGTGACGTAAGTCGCCTCGCCCCTGGTTCCCCTGGCCGCTCAGCCGTGAAGGACAGGTGCGAGGGCTGCAGGAGGCGGAGCAACGGATGGACCAAACCAGCAGGCAGTGTGGCGGCAGTGGCGTCATTCTGGAGGCGACGGCGACCTGTTGAGGGACTCGGGAGCCGCCGTCCGGTGCACACATTTTGAAGTTGGAACCGACCGAGCGAGGAGGCGATTTCACCCTCTCTGTCTTGGTGACCCACGGTCGGACTCGAATCGGGATCGGGAGCTAGCTGAAGTGGGAGCGGTATGTAATTTAACAAAGACAAAGTGCACGTGGTATGCTGCATTGTATTGTATTATTTTGTATTGTATTGTGCATTGTATATACAGTATATTGTATTGTGTATTGACAATACACAATACAATATACAATATTGTATTGTGCATTGTATAATATATTGTGTAAAGTGTATTGTATTGTGCATTGTATATTGTATTGTGTATTGTATATTGTATTGTGTATTGTATAATACAGTACAGCGGCACAATGCTGAACACCAGCAGCTATAGAGGAACAACAAATCCCAGCAATAATACATTATACAGGCTGGTTAATATATTATTGCTGGGATTTGTTGTTCCTCTATAGCTGCTGGTATTCTCCATTGCGCTGTATAATGTATTATTGCTGGGATTTGTAGTTCCTCTATAACTGGTCAGTGGTAATCTGCATTGCGCAGTATAATCATTATACAGCGCAATGGAGAATACCACCAGCTATAGAGGACTACAAATCCCAGCAATAATATAGAGCTGCAACAATTAGTCGATTAAAATCGACAATGGAAAACGTTGTCAATGTTTTTCATGGTCGATTTGTCGTCAAAAATTTAAATTTCCTGCTCGCCTCTTACGCCCGCCTGTTTGCAGCTCCATACACGAGTTACGCCGCGCTCACCACACAGGCCGGACACACGCCCGCAGAGCCGACGCGACTTACAAGGGTTCAGAAACAGGTAAGGAGGACCTGTTTTAATGTTTCCTGTTTTTTTTTAAAAAAGCGCACACTGCAGAACACAGCTATAGATGAACACCAAATCCCTGCAATAATATATTAAGCAGCCTGTATAATGTATTATTGCTGGGATTTGTAGTCCTCTTCCTGGGGGGGGGGGGGGGGCAAAATGCACCTTCGCCTGAGTTGGCAAAAATCCTTGTACCGGCCCAGCCGGCCTCCTCCACTTCCAGACTGGCGATGCTGGGACCGGACCTCTTCTCTGTCAGCTGACCATCACTGCTGCCAGGCCCCCCGACCTCTATCCTTCTCCCGGCCCAGTCCTCCCCTATCAATCGATGGCAGAAACCCCCAGCTTCTAGCCCTGGGTCGGCCGCTCCGGCTCCACTATCCGTAGTTTCCGCCCCTGGGGCTGTCCACGGCTGTTCCTACGCTGGGAAGGAGATAAAGAACTGGACAGGCACTGCCATGGACAGCTATCTGCAGGTCCCCACAAGTGCGGGAACTCAGATGGCCGCTGCGGTTTATAAATTTAAAGGGCTGTTATCGGCCTTAAGAATTGGGGCATGGTATCGGGACATCGTGAAAATGCCTGGTATCGGGACATCCCTATTGACGGGGCCATACATTGCTCAAACTTCAGTCAACTCAACAGGAATTGAGCAAAAATTGGAACAGTGTATGACCAGATTACATTATATGCCCTGAACGAATGTCATATAGCTGCAAGTTCAAAATCCTTTGCCCCATAATCATGGCAATGACACCCATTTTATAAAAGAGACAATTGTAAAATCTAAAAAAAAAAAAAAGTATCTGCACAAGTCATGCTTTGTTAGACTGCTGAATGGAGAATAAAAGAGCAGTAACATATTGATGAGGTCATCCCCTCCTAGAAGCAAGTTCAGCGTTAAGCTGGCCATACACTGTACTATTTCTATTTACAGATTCCTCCGTCAATGTTAAGCAGTGTAGATGGAGGCATCCCCACTGTTTACACTGTATTCTGACAGCGGCCGCCGGCTGCTGTCAGAATACACAAACGGAGCTTGCAGCTGATTTTCCAACCAGCTCCTTGGATATTCTGATCGAGGGATGCCAGGTGGAGGGGTGCCAACCCACTGTGCAAATTTCAGCCGGTTCAGCAACAACCAGCCAAAATTCACAAAATGTATAGCCAACTTTAGACTGGCAAGTACGGCCCAGGGCAACAGAGCCCTGATTGGTTCAGAGTGCTGCCCCTCCTCTCTCTGTCTGTGTAGGAGAGAACATGTATGTGTACTAGTTCTTTGCAAGGATAAATGTAATTAGTTATAATTAAAGCATAACTGAATTAAACAGAATTTTTAAAATGTGCCTGGAGTTCCACATGATGGACTTATGATGTCACCTGTTTTCCAGCATCATCCATGCTTTGGACAAACTCCAGAGATTGAACCGAAGCAGACCGGATGGTATCTGTCCTCCCCAAGCGGAACATTCGAAGTGAGGCACTCTCATAGGTGGCACAGGACCTTCCGTACATCCTTCAAAGGGAAAGTATAGCGCATTTTCAGTGAGCACATATTCTAAGTTATTGACGCAGTGTTAACTTTAAAGAAATTTGTATAATTTTTGGAGTAATTTTTTCACAATTCCACCAGCGTGTATTTCAGTGGTTTTGATACAGATTTAATGACAGCGATTTGTAGATTAGCTCAAGGGTGGGCAACTCTGGCCCTCCAGCTGTTGTGAAACTTTGAACTTTGGACAATTAGCCCTCATTCACACGAGAAACGGCCAGCCCGTACAGATCCGTACTGCGTGCATGGCCGTATCAGGCCACTCCCAGGAAGGACAAGTGCTGCGTGTGATAGTATGCAGCAGCCTGTCCTTCTCTATGGGAGTACGTGGCCGTATGCCCCCCTTCGCTCACCTGAGCTGCACGTCCATGAGGGTGCGGGTGTCCGTACTCGTATGCTGACAGGTTGGATCCTGTCTGTATCCGAGCAGGGACACCCGCACAGACATGGAGGTCAGGTGAGCATAGGGCGGCATACGACTGCATACTCCCATAGAGAAGGACAGGCTGCTGCGTACTAATCACACGCAGCACCTGTCCTTCCCGGGAGCGGCCCGATACGGCTGTGCATGCCACACTGATTCTGTATGGGCCGGCCGTTACCCATGTGAGTGAAGGCTTAGAGGGAACCTCCCTAACACAATAAAAACCTAATAGTGGTTCTAACCCAGGGGTGGGCAATTCCAGCCATCCAGCTGTTTCGGAACTACAAGTTCCATGAGGCATTGCAAGACTGACACTTACAGGCATGACTCCCAAATGCAGGGGCATGTTGGAATTTGTAGTGAAAGCACAACTGGAGGGCTGGAGTTGCCCACCCCTGAATTAGCCAATAGAGGCAGGCCTCAGTACAGTTATTCTGCTCCTCATCTTAACAAGTGACATAAGATATCAGCCACACAGGCATAGCTTACATTAAGTTGGTGGACCCTTAGACATGAGTAGCACAGCAAAGCAGGAAGCAGAACCTGGGCAGTTAAGAAGCAAATAGGGTTGCCCATACTTTATTTTAATAAAATTACAAATTACACAAAGAAACAAGGTTTTTAAACCATAATGATAAAATAATTTCAACAAGCTGATCTTTTTTTAAATATACAAGTGTGGTGGAGCTGGTCATTATTTCCTCCTAGAAGCCTGAGCTTTTAGGCACATACAGCACATAATCACACACAGTTCTTGAGAACCCAGAGGAGCTGTGCCAATGGGCTTTCCTTTGCTTCAAAGCAATTTGTATTCCAATACAAATCTATTGGTATGCAAAACCTACTCAAAGCAAGTCAGAAGGACTTCAAATGTACCCGTCAATGAATTATGTATGATCTCAGAAGTGTCTCAAACTGATGCCATTGACACAAGCCCTAAGCCTGTCAATATAGGCCCCGAATAAAGAGTTCCTCTTTTCCCAACTTATTCAGCCTGCCCATTTTTTTTATTAAGGAAAAAAAAAAAACATGTTAACCAACATCCTCAGAGTGCAGGCACTAGATGATGCCCATGCATACACAAATACAGCAGGATGTTCTGACTCCCTGACCAATGTAGCTTACATACACACCATCCTACATCCCAAACCAGAACCCATCAACTAAGCATTCTGTAGCACTTCTGGCCAAAAAATTTTTTGAACCCCCCCCCCCCTCCCTCCCCCCCAAAAAAACATTTCTATGACCATGTTCACATCTGAGCATTTTGTTGCTTGTAGCAAAATGCCAGTCACTTGAAGACCGTACATGAGCTCATTTTTGGCAAATGCTGCGCTACTTGGCACCATAGACCTATGTGCCATGATCTGCTCACAAAAATGCGCGATTGTGTGTGCAAAAGACATGCTGAAAACGCAGTGGGTTTCCCTCGCCCAGCAAGGGTTAAAATGCTCGCATTATCCTAGGGTACCAGGAAAAAGGACTTCTGGCTGACCTTTTTCCACGCTCCCGAAAAATTCAATGGGACCAGTCCCCCTAAGACTCTTCTCTTTTTGCAGCTGTGACATCACCACATATAATGCAAGAGCAACAGTCCAGCATTGTAAGCGAGGATGCTGAGGGCCCGTCCACAACCCATAGAATTGGAGAGAAGGAGTGTGTGCCGGCTACTAGGAAAGTGAGAGGTATGGCAAGTTAATTTTTCCTGCTATCCTAGGGTAGAAACAGCATTTAACCCTTGCTGTACAGGGGGAACCCCACTGCAAGGTTTGTGTTTTTTGTTTTTTTTAGTTCCCCAGAGATCAGCTTTAACCACTTGCGGACCAGCTGCGATTTTGCTCACTTTGGAGACTTCCTCTGGCTTTGTGCTGAAATAAAGTGAATTAAAATGTCCTCAATTGGACATGAGAAAAAATCAATTTCCCTCTCTATCTAAAAAAATAAACATTTTGGGTTTAGTTATATTTTGAGAGAATGTAATGCTCTGGACTACAAATCCCAGTGACGTAAAGCTTGTCCCAAGGATGAGCCCAGCTGTAAAGCTTGGCAAAACATTATATATATATATATATAATGTATCGCAACACAGAGGATCAGACAACATAGCCACACAAGGCATGCCAAGGCTGGGGGCAGAGAGGCTCAGAGAGATGGCCCACTGTAAGTCTATACACCTAGAGCTTCAAGAGCAGGGCATAGTGTCACCCATTCTGTGTTCACTTTGGTTCTATCTGTACAGTCCCAGTCAGGATATGTGAGCTGCTGTGCGATTCCCCAGGCAGCTTTTTCGCTGTTCGCCATGGCCTATGATGGCGCTGCAGAAATCCACGCCCCATAAAGAATGCAGCCTCGGACTTCCTTCAGATTTACATGTTACTAGCAGACAGCCTGTCTGTAGCACAAAGCTAAATCACAATCTGTTCATATCATAATACACTACAATGCCTGTTTACATTCTTGCATATCTCTCTGAAACAATATTTACTCAGAAATCATGAACATAAACATCGTAATCAGGAAGATGTAAACAGAACATATACATGGGCAGAAATTCTGTAGTGGTGTTTCACAAGGACCAGCAGAGGACCGTTAAAAGGCAGATAAAATAGAATGCCGATTGTGGTTGAGTAAAGTTAATGAGATCTGGAGAATGGAGGATTTGACTGTGTCCTCCATGGGGATACAACACATTCTGCAAGACTTGGTCCTCCTGGGCAGTATTTTTCTTTTCTCTGGAATACCAGGCAAGTGTCACCTCTGAGGAGCCTACTAGCCTTCGAAGGACCTGAGTACATAGTGGCCGGGGACCCGCAGGAAGCAAGGTTATCCCATTCCCCCCCTTCTTTGACTATGCTTCTAATCCTGCGTGTGTTGCTAACTCTGTCTTATACTTGTTCTACTAGTACCTACTACCATAGGCGCCTGGGGACTGTGGTATACTCCATATTGTGAGGTCTTAATATTACACACTACAGGAAGTCCCGGGTATGTCACCCTACAAATATATATATATATATATATATAGCCGATAAATGTAAGACAAGGTGACATGTTGTATACGTCACATGGAATACAGTTGGGGAAAACAGAACTGGCATTGGCATGATGTGGTAAGCAATAAAGCCAACCCTTTCCTTAGTTACCGATAATAAGCCAGCTGAAGAGCCACTTGGATGAAGGCGTCCGGACTCAGCTTCTCAGCCTTTGGGACATTTTTCCCGAACTTATTAAAAACAAAGACTTTAACATCCAGGTCGTGAACCATTCTGCAGGTCAAAAAAGAAAAAGGAAAATAAACAGCTTTTGAGTGAAATTTAAAAGGGAATGTTTTATCATTACCTTAGTTGTACTAAGTTTGTACTCACATATTGAGGTTCTGCTTGGCTTTCTCAATGTCATTCTTAATTTCTGGAGTGATGTTAAAACGCAGTTTCTTGGGCATCGGTAAAGGTATCATTGGTGACCTGACAAAATCTGGCTTCTTCCTGCCGAAAAAATATAATGAAAATGTAAGGACATTTTCGCATCATACGGGTCGGCTATAGGGGCAGCATTACTCTAGTAGAACTATAAACTGCTCAAAAAAATTAAAGGAACACGTTGAAAACACAACAGATCTCAATGGGGAAAAATATCATGCTGGATATCTACTGTATACTGGACTGGGTAATGTGTTAGGTATGAAAGGATGCCACATCGTTTGATGGAAATGAAAAATGATCAACCTACAGAGGACTGAATTCAAAGACACCCCAAAAATCAAAGTGAACAAATGATGCAGCAGGCTAGTCCATTGTGCTTCATCCTTAATGAACTGGCTGCATACTCTCGCCGCATGAGGCCTGGCATTGTCGTGCACCAGGAGGAACCCAGTACCCACTGCACCAGTGTAGGGTCTGACAGTGGGTCAAAGGATTTCATCCCGATACCTAATGGCAGTCAGGGTGCCATTGTCAAGCCAGTAGAGGTCTGTGCATCCCTCCATGGATATGCCTCCCCAGACCATCACTGACCAACCACCAAACCGGTCATGCTGATAGATGTTATAGGCAGCATGACGTTCTCCACGGCTTCTCCAGACTCTTTCACGTCTGTCACATGTGTTCAAGGTGAACCTGCTCTCATCTGTGAAAAGCACAGGGCGCCAGTGGCGGACCTGCCAATTCTGGTGTTCCACGGTGCTGGGCAGTGAGCACAGGGCCCACTAGAGGACGTCGGGCCCTCAGGCCACCCTCATGAAGTCTGTTTCTGATTGTTTGGTCAGAGAAATTCACACCAGTGGCCTGCTGGAGGTCATTTTGTAGGGCTCCAGCAGTGCTCATCCTGTTCCTCCTTGAACAAAGGAGCAGATACCTGTCCTGCTGATGGGTTAAGGACCGTCTACGGCCCTGTCCAGCTCTCCTATACTAACTGCCTGTGTCCTGGAATCTCCTCCAGGATCTTGAGAATGTGCTGGGAGACGCAGCAAACCTTCTGGCAATGGCACTTAATGATGTGCCATCCAGAAGGAGCTGGCATGCCTGGGCAACCTCTATAGGGTCCAGGTATGCGCCTCATGCAGCCAGTAGTGACACTGACTCTAGCCAAATGCAAAACTAGTGAAAAACAGTCAGAAAAGATGAGTAGAGAAAAAAATGTCAGTGGCCTCCACCTGTAAAACCATTCCTGTTTTGGAGGTCGTCTCATTGTTGCCCATCCCAGGAGTTTCATTGACTTGATGCTATACTCCGATTAAAAAAAGTGTTCCTTTAATTTTTTTGAGCAGTGTATAAATAAATCATTTTAAGCAACATTGTCAATGCAAAATTATCAGGCTTGAGATGTGTAGTCAAAAGTATGCAATGAGCAATCACTGTACTTTCTGCTTCAATGCTTTCTTCAGGTTTCTGCAATTTGTGTGATTTTTGTCCTGCCTCAGATGTTTCTTGGAGCGTCAGAGGCTTTGTCTGCCTGACAACTAGTTGTTCCCCTGCCCTGGCCCGGAGGTCAGCATTTCCCCAGGTAGATATTTGCAGCGTGCCTGCACACACACAGGAGGCGAGGAGTGTAAACAAAAAAATGATACAAAAACGCCAGCATTCATATAACTGGTTTGCTGTGCTGAGGAAGTGGCTGTGAGTACATGTTCTGAAACCGCCTTACTGCGCATGTGTGAGAACTCGAGCCAAAGCTTCAAAAGTAACAGATTTTCGATAACAGTATTTCGGTATCGAGTACCGATATTTTTATCCCCGGTACTTGCCGATACTGAATACTGATACCGGAAGTACCATTAAGGAAGCCAGGCGGCATGTAATGACTCGCCGCCTGGCTTCCCGATTAGCCGGAAAGCCAGGCGGCTCACAACCGGCTTCCCGATTAGCAGGGAAGCCGCCCCCATGCTTCTCGTCACTATGTGACGAGAAAGCGTGGAGCCGGCTTTCTGGCCAATCAGGAAGCTGGGCGCCATGTAATGACGCGCTGCCCGGCTGCCTGATTGGCCGGGAAGCCGCCTCCATGCGCCCTCGTCATGAGGTGATGAGGGGGCATGAAGCCAGATTCCCGGCCAATCAGAAAGCCGGGCGCCGCGACATTACACGGCTTCCTGATTGGCCAGCTTCCCAAACAATCAGGAAGCTGGGCAGCACGTCATTAAACGATGCCTGGCTTCCTGATTGGCCAGGAAGCCAGCTCCATGCACCCGTGTCACAAGTGACGAGGGAGCATGGAGCCGGCTTCCCCACCAATCAGGAAGCTGGGCAGCGTGTAATGACGTGCTGCCTGGCTTCCTGATACAGGACGTATCTGGCTAAGCATTGTAGCATTTGGGCAAGTACGAGTACTCGCCCAAATACTTAGCATCGACACCAATGTCCCCGCCACCCCCTTTCCTGCCAGAGCGTCATAGTTTGCCAAAACTCCTTAGCAAGCTGTGACACTCTGGCTGCCTTCCCGCCTACCTCATGGCAACCAGTGACATCACTGGTTGACAGGAGCTGAGCAGGAAGATCTGGCTAGCATCCTGCCCAGCTCATGGCAACCAGTGACGTCCGTGAGCTGTGCAGGATATGTGTACCGCCAGCAAGCTCCCCCCCTAGGGACATTCACCCCCCTAGGGACTGTCCAGCGTTGGGATCCTCTCAGGATCCAGAAGAGGAGTGATATCACAAGGTGACAGTAGTGTATCAGCCAATGAAGAATCATCTGCTGCTCTTGATTAGTGGTCCCTCGCAGGGGGGACAAAAGGGAGTATAACTCTACCAATAACTAATAACAGGAAGTAATGGAAAATACAAAAGTGGAAGCCATGATTGTCCACCAGGTTTATAACTATGTGGCTACACAGCAACAGAAGTCCATTTCCAGTAACTAGGGGTTGTGGGTAATAATGCAGCAGCTATAGTTGTTCAGCAGCTTTATTTTTGCTTCATTACAGTAAATTCTAAGGCTATATCTCCTCCTGGAAAACAGAAGCTGTCTCAAGGGCTGGTCCTCATTTGGAGAAGCCAGACTGACCTAAGAGGGCAAATCTACTTTATCAGTGTCTCCTTGCAGGTGTTTCTAGATCTGAGCAGTAAGAACATCTTTGATAAAAGAACCTTACGTGTATTCAACGACATGGTCAATCAAGGCTACAATAGGAGGTCCTTCTGCAGGAGCATGTTCATACACTAGCCCACACGAACCATCTTCTGCTACTATGAACTGAGGAGAAACAAGACATGAAACAACAGATTCACTTTAATGCTGGAACATGCAGCTGCTTTGAATCATCTCCCCTTCACGGCCCCAACACCAAGAGTGAATAGTCCTGTGCAAATTAATACTAAGCGTAGCACGGTGTAGGATCAGTCCACCCAAAGTGATTTTTTGAAGGAGCACAGTAGGCTTCGTCAGCCCCTGGCATGTAGGTCTTGGATAGTGCAACAATAGGATCTCACTGCTATAATTCCTGGCTCCTGACTGATCCTTTCCACCTGGAAGTTCTGGGGTGTTTCAGCTCTTTTAGTACAGAAATATAATTACACACTTAAATCTAAAACGGGAGAGTGAGAGCCCCTCTTAACAGGCACATCAAGGGCACCGATCCAGAAAGCCAAATGCAAAAGTCAAAGCGACTCAGAGTCTCTCAGCCTTTGGTGGACTGACCCTTTAAAAAGGCCCAGTCACCAGATTATTAATTTAATTATTCATATTATTATACGATTATATGTGCATTTAATGTATTGTATGCATGTTATTTCACGTAAAAGCCTCCCTGTGCAGACATTCAAAAGGCCTGAGACTACTGCTAGGTGCCTCCATCTTGGATGTGATGCCAGCAGCCCCAGCAGTCTCAGAGCTGACATTCAAATGACACTCAATAGTATTCATATTCACTCTTCCCCGACAGCTACATAGAGGATATAGAGGGAGGGGCAAAAGAGCTGGGACCACACAGACAGTAATTAGACACTCCCAGAAGAGGGCTATGACATGCAAGGCAATCTCTTAAGACTCATCTCTTCAGGGAAGCCTATCGCACATCAACCTAACCACTGAACTATCACTTTCTCAAACAATTCATCTCCACACAGCTACCTCCTCATGTATCACTGGCCCCTCCCTTTTAGATTGTATGCCCTCACGGGCAGTGCCCTCCTTACCATCTTGTCTTGAAATGTATTGTAATTGTAATGTCTTCCCTATATTGTAAAGCTCTGCCCAAACTTTTGGTGCTATATAAATCCTGAATAATAATAATAATAAAGTGGCTTTGCTAGAGAATTGACTCTTCCTGAAGAAGTCAATTTCTAGCAAGATCAATGAAACATTAAAAATGAATAAAAAATAGTTTGCCCAAGCGATACAGTCATCATATTTCCAAACAGCTCCAACTCTCTCAGCTCAGCTTCCTTGTCCAGTACAAGATCACAAGAGACAGCCCAGTCTCCAGCAGCCTAACATCTACTAACTTGGAGAAGGGAGGAGCAGAGAGCAGGGAGCATAGAATTGAATTGCCCTTTTGTGTCTGTCGAGACACGCACACAGCTTACTAAAACACGCACAAGGAAGGCTCCATGGGATCGTGCAAATGAAAAGGAGCCACCCTAAGGGCTCGTTTCCACCAGCCCGTGGGCTCATCACACTGTCCCATGCCCAGAAGGGAACAGTGCATGTACTATTTTTTGCGATTGTACCGCAATGGAACGCAGGGCAGTGTATTACCACGTGGTCCTGTGCGGCCCTAAAACAGGATATCAGATCCAGTGCTCAGGAGACCAGTCGTTTCTGCAGGAAACTAAAACTTTTAAACATCGAGGAGCAGCATCCATTGAAAGTGATTTCATCAGCATCTGAAAAACTTTTTCACTTTAAGGGTCAGGAAAGCAAAAGCGAGAGAGAGAGAGCGAGAGAGATGGCATGACTAGTGCTCTTCTTTAACAAAAGTTACACATTTATACAGCTGTGCCTCCCTAGCTAGTAATGACTAAATCCTGCACTGTCAGCAGTAATCAAGGACTGCAGTCATCTTTGCCAAATTTTGGCTCATTAGGGAGTTCTGGAGTGGGAGTTTTTATTTCTTACTAAACATAATAATGCATTTTGTTGATGCCAACATGTGCCCTTTTGATACCTGTGAAGTGTCAACAATAGTTTTTATTTGATGACATACCTGCAGGGTTTTGTCAAACCATCTATTCCCACTGTTCAGGTGGCTGCCTCCACCATGTAACATTTGGGCTGCCACCCGACTCTTGTAGAGATCATCAGAGACTCTGGGCATTGGGGCATCCAGGCACACTGTGAAGATACTCTTCTGGATGGTACGCACGGACTCTTTGTTGATCTTATCTAGAGAAAATATATATCGTCAATGATGGGAATGTGCTTAGTTCAAGAATGAGCCATTACATAAAGCCCATTTGAATTTGTCACCATAGTTTAAAAAATACAAAACCAGAGTGATGTGGCAGGCGGAGCGTAAAATCATCACTCTAAGCTAAGAGTGTTAGCTCTTAGCTTAGAGTGCCAGTGTTGGATAGCGCCAGTGTTGGATAGCCCTGCTATCCAACACTGGCATCAGGTGGGTTATAGGAATGTGTACCAACAACCCAGTAGAGTGCATAGCAGTGTCAGAACAGCTAGTGGGAGGAACCACAGTGAGCAGTGAGGGATATGATATCCAAGCACCTAGTAGTGACAGATAGCAGTAGTGCTTATAGTTCTTCAACAGAGCAAAGGTTTAACTTGCTGCCCAGTGAAAAACTATTCAACTTATGTAACATTGTGGTTCTGTTTTGTTATTAATTTTTTTGCTAAGGTAATACATTTCCTTTAAGGCCTCCAGACCCAAGTGCATTGTCCTGGAAAGGGGGCCATATTAGAAAGGATAAGGGCTGCAATACTTAAAACCTGTTTTCAGTGTGTTGAGGAGCTGCAAGAATGACAAGGTATACTGGTGTCAGTTTGGTTATTGAGACATACACATCAACCCTAGTTTAATGGCTGTATGTACAGGCCTAACTGGCTATACTCAAGCATATGCAGGCTGCTTTCTAACCACCTAAGGCAGAAGATCTCAAAGCAGTCACAGAACACAACTCAGAATGTATTTTATTCCTCACTTGATCCCTCATTGATTGACTCATACCATGCTCTAGACTTGAATTGCAAGATTGCTTTCCAAGAGACAGTGAACAATTTATTTTATTTCACTGCAGCATTGTATTAATTGTTACTTGCATATAACCCACATATTATAAGCCATCAATGGTGAACTACTGCAGGTAGTATGCAGCTCCTCCAAATCAATGAGACTGGAGTGGGTCTGGGCTGTCCTTTCCCCTATCCTTTAGCAGGGAATCATAGGCCTCTCCACAAGCGTGTGGTTCAGACAAGAAGGACCTGTAAGTGCAGCACAATGATATTACCACATAGATGACTTCATCATACATTTGGGTATGCAAATTTACTTCAGCCCATTTATTAGTAACTGTAAACCACCACTTTTACTTTTTGGTCGGCTTACCTTTAATGAGATTGTTGTACGCTTTGGCCCAGCTGTTCCGGTGATTTGTGGTTAGGATGCCAATGGGCTCCTTATTAGACTGAAGTGAGGTCCCCCAGATCTTCTCCAGTTGTATGAAAATCTGATCTGTGGTAAGGGGCGTTCCATCACTGTGATACACATCTAATTCAAAGAACTGTGAAGGGACAAGAACACTGTCAGGAAATGGGACTACATGGTATGCAAAGAATATACAGTATTTTCCCATATACTTCTTACAGTGGAGTCAGTGGTATTGTGAGCTGAACCATTTTCAGAAGCACAATACCTCTTGGCTCAGTTCTGATACTTATAAAAAATGTGTGCCAACAATGGGACAGCACATCAAATGGGAAGAGATAGAGAGAAGAAAGAGACAATGAGAGGAGAAATAAGATATAGAAATTAGGGAAGTGAAAGAAAAGAGTGGAGAGATTAAAAAAAGAAGCAGATGTAAACTGTAGGGTTAGGTCTGCTTTAATTGATTACCTAGGCTGGAGTTAAGCAGGCTGGGGGCAGTAATGTTATTTCACACTAACTTCTGAACTGTAAAAAGCAGTCCCAATGGCACTTCTGGGTCATGCAAACTAAAACGTCAGCAGTTTAGATCATAAGACCCCCAAGGTTAATTTTTACTAAAGTCTCTGCTGCAGTGTGACACACAAGTAACCCAAAAGTGGTGTGCTGTGCGACCAAACTTTTCCAGCCCATAGGCACATGTTTTATAACTTTACTGACCCTAGCCTGCCTCTACATGTAGGCAATGTAAGTAGACATCATTCTGCAGTTTAGGTCTGTTTTAAAGAAAACAAGAAGAAAGCCAAGTAAGCAGAGAAAAAAAAAAAAAAAAAGGGGGGGGGGTTGGAAAAAAAAAAAAAAGGACGAGAAAAAAAAAAAAAAAACCCAAATAAACAGAGAAAAAAAAAAAAAAAAGAGTGGAGTAGTTGGAAAAAAAAAAAAAAGGACGAGAAGAGAAAAACAGAAGACAAAATTTGAAGAGAGAGAGAGATAAATTTAGAGGAGAGAAAGATAAGTAGAAGAAAAGCAAAAGAAAAAAAAAGTGGACAAATTACAAAAAGGATGGAAAGTGAAAAGAGAAGTGCACAGAAAGAGAGAAGCAGACAGAAAGCAAGGAGGAAAAAAAGTGAAAAAGAAACAAGCACAAAGTAAAGTGGACAGAAAGAAAAAGAGAAGAAGGCAGAAAGTGAAGTGGACAGAAACCAAAGAAAACAGAAAGAAGATGCCAGAAAAAAAGGAATATAAATATACCAAACATAAGATATACTAAATAAAGAAATAGAAAAGGAAAGGGAGAGGAGGCTTTGTCTGCTTAGCATAACCACTATAGCTAAAGTTGAAAAATAACATGGTAAAAGAGGCAGCCAGAAAGTAAAAGAGTAGCAAAAGAAATACAAAGACAACAGAAAACAAAAAGAGAAGTAGACCAGATTAAAGAAAACAGAAAATGAATGAATTGGACACAAAGAGGATAGAAAGCAAAAGAGAAGAGAGACGCATCTAAATGCAGAACAGAAAGTGGAGGAGAGAGAAAGAAGGTGAGAAAAGAAGTGGAAATAGGGGAGGAGAGTGAGAGGAGAGCAGGTTATATCTGCTTAGCATAGTCTTTGGGAAGATTTAAACTGAACCTCTAGATGCATTGCAATCCTTTTTAAGCAAGAGCAATATTTACAGGGTTATACGCAAAAGGCTGAAGCTTTTGGAGAAGGCAGGAGAAGGGAACAATCTAGGACAACATAGCTTATCTGGAAAGGGAGATGAATTGGAGATTCATCTATTTGGCCTAGATTGGTCACTTCTCCTGCCTTCTCCAAACTCTTCACCCTTTTGGTGAATAGCCCTGTTGATTTCAGCACATATAGTGCACAGGCACAATTCTCATCTAGAATATTGGGTACTCTGAATGTTTAAAGCAATGCAGCAATCATTTTCATTGCCTGATTTAGTAGTGCCACTGGTATGTCCAACCTTAATCATTTACTGTGCACATAATTGTATAATATACTCAGTGGCCACTTTATTAGGTTCACTTGCTTGTTAACACAAATAGCCAAACAACAAACCACCTGCCTGCATGTGTAAATTAAGCCGACATGGTGAAAACGTTAAGGTGTTGTTTAACTGAATATTGAAATTGGAAAAGATGTAACAGATTTTGACCATGAAATATGGTTGGTGCCAAACATGGTGGATGCAGCATCTAAAAACACTAACCTCCTGGGATTTTCACACACTGTGCTCTATAGAGTTTCCAGAGAATGAAAAATGAAACACTCAGAAGAGGTTATGTGGCTGAAAGTAATTTGTTAAATGAGAAAAGTTAGGGGAAAATGAGCAGACTTGAGCACGCTGACAGCCAACAACTGTACAAATGGCCACTATTAATAACAGCGGTGTGCAGAAAGGCATTTGTGAACGCAAAAAACATAAACGCTTGAAGAGAAGGAGCTATAGAAGCAGAAAACTATAATGGATCCCACTCAGTTTAAAACAAGACTATAGTGGGCTGAAGACCACCAAAAGTAGACACATGAATACTGCAAAAATGGTTCCGTCACTGATGAGCCTCAATTTCCTTTGTAATGTGCCGATGGTAAGGTCAGAGTTTGGAGTGAATGACATAAATCTTTTGAGATGAGGCTGAATCAAAGACAAGCAGTATGAAATTATGAGCAACAAATCTGCTGAAACTATGTAATGCTATTGAGTCAGCAAAGACCAGAAACCCTTAGGGATGTTTACAGCAACTTGAATTTATTCCACTAAGAATTCAAGCTATTCTTAACCTGGCTACTTCACCTATCACTGACGAGACAGAGAAGAGACTCACCTGAAAGTTATGGACCACTGTAATGTGAGTGGGGGCCTTCTTGGCTTGGTTACAGTTGACGACAGAGTCTCTCTTCTGGCCCGGAATACGACAGGAAGATAATAATTGGTAGTACTGATGCATACAGAGCGGTTTACCACCAAGATGTTCTACAGGCAGGGTCTCACTAGTTGCAACACAAAGAAAAAAAATTAGATTTATGGACAGAAGATCTGAAAAGAGTGCCTCAGGTTTATTTTAGGACTTACTTGTCTATCATAGATTTAAAGTCAAGGACGCCTTCAATCAGCTTAGCAGCAAATCTGCAGAAACAAAAGAGCGATATTAAAGTGTATTTAAACCCAAGAACAAAAATGTAATACATTGCAGCTTACCAGACCATAGATGTGGGAGATGCATTAGTTTTTTCCATCTTGTAATCCTTCCAGCAACACACTTGCTGTTCTAGGATGACAACGCTCGCTTACTGTACTGTATTTACGCAGGAGCAGCATTGTCACCTATGACAGGAAGTGCATTAGGACTACCGAACGCTTCTGCAATTCACAGAGTTGAACCTGGCAGGGCTTATTGCACATACCCTGCAAGTGTACTGTTTGACCTGGTTATTTAGGCATGCCTACAGGTTTCAGAGGCATGTACCAGTCTGTACTTCATTTAAACACATATGCTGGTGTCAGGTGCTGGAATGCTAATTCGAGCACCCAGTGCTGGTATGAGGCCTTCGACCAGTGCAGAGCTACTACAGGAGAATGGGGAAATCTATTGCCCACATCCTACTTTAGTCATGTGTGTGCAGTGTGCCCAGGGTGCTCTGCTGCGCTGATCTGAAGTCTGAATGGGCAACAAATGCTGGGAGAAGTGGCCTTATTCTGCGGTCTGAAGAATGGCTGATCTAAGCTCTGAAGGGGAGGAGATGATCTTAAGCAGGGATGCACAGATACCAATTACAGGTACTCGGTACAAGTACAGATAATTTTCCGGCTCCATTAAAAGACTAGACTAGGGAAAAACCTCAAAAGTTAGGAGGCAGCTGTAATTTTTAAGGAGCATTGGCTATGGGGTTACGGGGATTTGTGCATCCTTGTTTTAATGTACGATTTGTTATATTTGTTTTTATTTTTTATCTATTAGGGATGCACCAAAACCATTTTTTACAAGTACTTGTCCAAGTACTCACAGATACCAATTACTGATAACTTTTTGTTTATTGTCATGTGACAGTTTTTCTAAAACAATACAGACTAATGATTTCAGGACAGTGGTGGAGCGTCAGGGCCCAGTCGCAGCTGCGATCCTGTTAGTTCTTGTGAAAATGCCAAGTATTGGCACTGATACTGGTATCCGAACATCCCTAATCTTAAGTCTAAAGTTTAAGTTTAAGTCTAAAGGGGTTATCTGAGGTCTAAAGTAGCTATGGAGGCTGAAAGTGTTAATGGGCTGATCTGAGATCTGAAGGTGGTATTATATGAGGTCTAAAGAGGTGCTGGAGGCTGAAAGTGTTAAAAAGACAGATAAGGTCTGAAACAGCTCTGGAGGCTAAACGTGTTAAGGGGGCTGATCTGAAGTCTTAGGAGGGGGCTGACTTGAGTTCCAAAGAGGCCTCTAGAAGCTGAAAGTGTGGAAAAGGAGTGAATCTGAGTTTTAAGGGAGGCTGATTTGACATCTGAAGAAGGGGCCAATCTGAGTTCTGAAGGGGCCCCTAGAAGCTGTAAGTGTTGGAGGGAGCTAATATTTGAGGTGTAAAGGGGGTCTTGATTTGACATCTGAAGAGGGGGCTGATTTGAGGTCTGAAGAAGGGGGCTAATCTGATGTTTGAAAAAGAGGCGATCTGAGGTCTGTGGTCTAAGGAAGGGAGCTTATTAGTGATAGTAAGGGGGAATCTGAGGTCCGAAGCAGCATTGGAGGCTGAAAGTGTATGAGTGGCTGATCGATGGTTCAAAGAGGGAGCTGGTGTGAGGTCTGAATAGTGGTTAGATGAAAGTAGTCACTCGCACTCCATGGTATTAAAGTCAATGCTGTTTATTGACTGAGATAACACACATCTCCTTAGTTATCTCAGTCAATAAACAGCATTGACTTTAATATCCTGGAGTGCGAGTGACTACTTTCATCTATCTATTCTACATTTCACGGAGGCATCCGTTGTCACCACCGCACCCGCTCAGTTGGATTTTTGTCCGGTCAGGAGTGCGATGGGACAGGAGGATTAAGGTCTGAATAGTGGGCTGATCTGAGGTCTGGGGGGGCTGGTCATAGGTCTAAATGGGCCCTAATAGCTGAAAAGTGTTAAGGGGCTAATCTGAGTTTTAAAGGGTGCAGATCTTTGGTCTGAAGGAGTAAATTTGTGAATGGGGGCTGATCGGAGGCCTGAAGGGGTAACTTTTGGAAGGGGCGCTGATTGGTGATCTGAAGGAGTAACTTGTAAATGAGGTGCTGATTTGACGTCTGAAGAGATAAACTGTGGAAAGGGGGCTGACCTCTGCAGTTTATTTGGGAATCAGGTAGGGACGGTCTGAGAAACAAATGGGGTCCTGGGAAAGAAATTCAAGCCTTACACATAAATTCCCTGCTGCTACTGTTCATGCTGTGACTTGCTGTAAAGTTAAAATTCTGTCTGATTAGTGATGGAAGGGAGACAGTAGACTGATGACATAATCTGAGTCTGAGAAAATTCACCTGACTGGATCTCATATACAATGTTAAATGCAAAACCTAACCCAGGAAAATATTGTGGCTTTGTGGTGGCTGCATTTGTTTCTTTTCAGGCTAAGAACTTTTTTTTGCACGTTAACACACAAACAGACTCCCGGCTGCAATTGGGACTTGTAGTTAAAGCACAGCTAGAGGGCTGGAGTTGCCCAAGCCTGACAAAACCATGCAATGGCTGTCTGTGTGTATTGCAATGGTCATCAGCAGTTAGAACTGTGCCGTGTAAAAGGGGGAGTGACACAGACAATCTCTCTTTGATAAATATTATTGGACTGTATTTTGAGCTCAGCATAGCACGCAGCAAAAAATAGTTCCCGCTAAGTGTGTGAAAGGTCAGTGTGAGCAAAGGCCAGCTTTTATCTCTTTCAGAAATCGGCCCCCTTCTTTCATAGGACGGGCAAAGGTCACATTATGCTACAAATCACAAGATAGTGGTACTTTACCTAAGTTGCCCTTGTCTGTCCGCAAAGTCTTGTTTTGGTAGCACCACACCGGGGCTCGAATGAACCACGACCGGCAGACGGTACTCTAGGTAAGCTGTCTGCAGCCACCAGTCTGAAAGCTGATGAGTATAATAAGTACGATGAGGAGTGTAATAAAAGAAAAAAAAACATAAAAGGCCTCTTTAGAAAAGTCACAAGTCAGTTCCATGTAAAATCCTTTAAGGAAACTTCAGTTTCATTTCAAAAACAGCTACAAATAAAATTGCTAAGCACACCATGTTGTAGAACAGGCGTAGGCAACATCGGCACTCCAGAACTACAAGTCCCATGAGGTATTGCAAAACTGACAGCCACAGGCATGACTCCCAGAAGTAGAAGCATAATGGGATTAGTAGTTTCACCACAGCTGGAGTGTAAAGGTTGCCTACCCCCGTTGTAGAATAATGCTACTAGAAATTTAAATCTTTATGGTGTATTAGTGCAAATGCATTAACGTGTGCAGGAAGCCCAACGCACACCCAGACGTGCTTAAAGGAGAGCTATGAGGTGAGTGAAAATCACTCAGCCTCATAGTTCGAGCCGACGTGTGACAATGGAACTGTCACACGTCGGCTCAATAGATCGGGAAGTGAGCGAACGCATACCGTCGCTCGCTCACTTCTCGATCCTGTCCCTGCAGAGAGGTGTGACTGTCACTCACGGCTCCCTGTGGGGATTCCCCCCTCCCCTGTCTGATCCTCCAGCATTGACTGGCGGTGGGATCCGTCCCGGCTGCGGCGTCTCAGTATACCGCAAGCTGTAGCTCGCGGTATACGGAGCTTTGGGTCACGGGAGGACGCTAGTTTGTGTCCTCCCGTTACCCTTAGGAGAACTATGGGGAAAAGCCCTGACCCCATAGTTCTCCTTTAAAAGGGTAATTCTAGTTCCTTGTGGAACACTGAAATGACCCCCACGAATTGGTTCCCTCTGCCCCTCCAGTAGTCATCCTTTGGGGGAGTTGCTGTCCCCCTACACCCCACCTGACCCCGCGCTGTACGGGACACAGCATTGCAGCTCGGTACTCTGTATATTGAATAATGCTTGCAAATGGTCAGTAGTAATGGTCAGCATGGTCAACTGACCACGCTGACCTATGAGAAGAGCACCTGTCATTGGTCAGCATGGTCATGTGCTGACCAATGACTGCTGACCATTTGCAAGCATTATTCCATATACAGTGGTTCCCAAAAAGGTATGACTACTGAGGGGGGAGAATCAGATGGGACCAATTTGTGGGGGTAATTTCAGTTTCCCCGAATTTTTCTAATGCAATGCACTATCATGCATTTTAGTGCGCTACAATGTGTTGCCTTAGTGCATTTGGGTGCCATATTCAAATCAGTAAACATAATAAATTATTAAGAGAACCTGTGTTTGTTCATGCAGGGCAAAGCAACAAGTTTACTTAACCACTTCCCACAGCGCTCACACAAAACTTGTATGTGTGTGCCTTAATCCCAAACTGTCACTCAGTTGGCACCCCCAGACATCACAGCCTCGTTCAATTTTCGTTCAAACAGCCCATCATGCACAGACCAATGCAATTATCGTTCATCAGCACCACTAACTGGCTGACATGGTGCCATTTTTGTTGTATGAAAACACCACTAACCTATCGATTTTGAAAATGTTCTAGTCTGCTTGAAAAACAAAAAAATCGGCAAGTTGTATAGTAATTGCGATTCTGCACTTCCTATCAACTGGCGAATTATCGCACGAAACCGCAATTGTGGCCGAAAATTGGCCGTTAATGCTAAGGTGTATGGGCACCTTAACCCTTTCAATGAGTACATTTGTTCTGGAGCCACCTGTCTAAAAGGGAGAATTCCTCCTCACTCTGGAGAGATTTCTTCTCACCTCCTGTTGTGTTTCCAAGAGAGGAAGTAAAATAAAGTCTCTCCAACGGGCCACAAGACAACAAAAAACATCCGTTTTAACCCTTCCCTACTCTATCCAAAACTAAAAAGAAAAGTATTGGCTATACATGCCTCCCTCTGCTGCTTATTTTCACCTTCTCTTTACCCGCTGTTCTATTTGCCAGCCAGAATGAGGTGAAATGTTACTTCTGGGTAGCACATCCTTTTTTCCCCCTTTCTTCCATACTGGGTGCCTGTGTGGCCTATCACAAGGCTCAGGTGCTGTCACATGGGGTCAAGGAGTCAGTCTTTAGCACATAGAGCTTACACAGGGCCTTTTCCCCTTGCTCAAGCAGGCAAACTTGGAGGCCAGGGATCAAAATGTATGAGAGTATAAGCAGCAGGCGTGGGCAATTAAGAGGACAATCATGGCTGCAGTACTCCCGGATTTCCATGAATTATCATCTCCCCTCTGTAGTCATACGTTTGCACAGAGCCTTATGTCAAATTACGAGAACCCCTTGCACGAAGACCATCAACTTTCGGATAGATATTTCCAAAAAGGCACTGCACAGGTATAGGCAGGCCAGGGAAATCTAATGTTTCGTATTGTAATGCTGGGGCTGATAATGTAATATAGCAGGCAGCGTTTACTACTTGGCACCTTCAGTGGCACGGTCTTTTTGCCAGAGAGAAGCTGGTAAGAGTTTGCCATCAAATCTACTAAAATACCATTTAACTAACCTTCACAGTTTTTTCATTCTTAGGTAAAGCCAAGGTTCATTTTCATAGTATTAATTTATAAGAGTAAAAGGGGCCGGAGGGACAGCCCAGCTATAACACTAATATTTCCATCCTCAAGCTCCCTGGGAGTCAGGACTCCTGGTATGTTTGAGAAGATATCAAACTGCATGTGTAGGCAGTTTTTAGTGCTTGTATTTCAAACAGTTACGAATGTTCACATTACTGAAAGGTGTTTTCTCAAGGAAACCTGTCAGAACATGAATATTGGAGCTACCAATGCTTTTTGACAGATCAAAGCTGACATCTTTATCTTTTATTTACTATTTAGTGACACGCTGATCCACTTATCCAAGATCCACTGATCTTGATTTATTGTTGAGATAGTCTGCAATAGAAATAAAAGCATTTTTTTTCTATAGAATAGAAATAAAGGATTTGTGTGTTTTTTCTACATTCATTTGCCGATGGATGTCACAGAGACACCAGCATCTCAAAAAAAGAAAGAATAGACTCTTGCTTTCATAATAGATAACAGAAGCTGTGATATAAACTCCTTTACATCATCATCAATAACATTTCAATGACTAGGATGTTTATGAGTGGGCCCACAATTTGTCGAGGGCAAATGTCCATGTTGCATCTTCAATAAAATGGCTATGTCTACATACCCAGTTTTCTGTCTTCTTTGCTCTCCTCTCTAGGCCCTTCTGTAGCCTTTCACCCACTCCCGAAGTCCGGAATTCCTCCACCATTTGGTTTGTCTGGCTCCATTCCTCCTGACTTATCAGAGGTTTCAAAGCCAATAGATATTTGTCCAGCGTCTGCTGAAGTGCAGGGACGGGCAGGTGTGGCAATGCCTCCTGATGTGCCAGGTACCTGCCTGGCAGTTTCATCAATGACACAGGCTTTACTAAGCGGACTGGCTTGGCCTAGAAGAGTAAAACAATTACTGTCACTAATTAATGTAAGAGAAAAGAAGTTAGATTAAAAAAAAACAACACGAAGTCAAGATCTATAAAATATAAAAAAAAGAATATATATTAGGTTGCTTGAATTTGTAAAAATGATATGCAACAGAAGGGATCCAATCACACAAAGCTACACATCCATATTCAACATTAATAAAAAGAGCTGATCAACATAAGCTGATGTTTTAGATTGTAAGCCCTCAGGGGCAGGGCCTTCCTTACCACCTTGTCTTGAATTGTATTGTGATTGTAATGTCTTCCTTACATTGTAAAGCGCTGCGCAAACTGTTGGCGCTATATAAATCCTGTATCATAATAATAATAATGTATAAAAAAATAAAAAAAAATGTTCAGAAAAAAACAAAAAGCCTCTGTAAGAAAGTCACTGGGTCTTTGATCAGTATTGGCAATAAATGCGGCTTTATTGCATTCAACATAAAAAGTCTATTTTTATCAACCGGGTACGTTTTACCTTTTTAAACAAACGAATTCCAGCAGAAACGCAAGAGTAACATAAATAAAAAGGCCTACTCCACCTTAGGAGGCTAACTAACAGCAGTGTCCCTCACTACGTCCTACTGGAGCGGCTATTCCAGCTTCCAGTATAAATGAACAAAAACCACAGTCCAATACATACAGTGTTTAGCCAGACCTTATTTCACAGATATTCAGACGCTCTCCAGTCTGTATGCATCCATCCAGTTCAGCATGGATCTCTCTCTGAGCTCTTTCTCCCCCTCAGTCACTATCAGGTGCAGGCTAATTAATAGACAGGAGGTGTACCTGTTGGGGCAAGGCTCAACTCCTTCCTAGCCAGACAGTATACCAGACATAGACAATGGCATCACCAGGCCCATCCATAAAATGAGGCAGCTTGAGGCAGGTGCCTTAGGCAACATCTCATTGGGTCATGTGGGGGGGCACAACTGCTGCCCCCCATTTCTGGCATGAGCATCCCAGGTTGCTAAGAGCTTGTAGTAAGTAACCTAGCTTTAGTAAAATTTGTGCATTGATGGCCTTTAACTGCTTGAAGACCAGGTGTTTAGACCCCCTTCCTGGCCAGGCCATTTTTCAGTGTTCAGCGCTGCGGTACTTTGACTGACATTTATTCCGTCATGCAACGCTGTACTGAAACAAATTTTATACCATTTTTTGGGGATAGATAGAGCTTTCTTTTGGTGGTATTTAATCACCACTACGGGTTTTATTTTTTACTATATTCAGGAGAAATTACTGAAAATTTTGAAAAAAAAACGTTTTTTTTTTACATTATGTTATAAAACAACTAATATTACCCACTTTTTTTGGTATAATATAAAAGACGGGGTCACGTCGGGTAAATAGACACCAAACATGTCAAGCTTAAAAATTGCACGCACTCGCAAAATCACAAAAAACTAGCATACCCAAAATTGGCCATAGGCGACGCTTTAAAAGCTTTTACCGCTCATCAGTTTAGTGTTATCAGTGATTGATGGCCCTAGAACTATTGCTCTCATTCCGACGTTCGTGGCGATATGTAGCATGTGCGGCGTAATGGGCGCAATCGTCGTTTTCGCAGGTATGCGCACCTGACGCATGTTTACATGCTTGTATGTAGGGGTGGGGACTTTAACAAATTGTTTTGTTTTATTAAATTCTTTTTTGTGTAACTTTAAAAAAATTGGGGGGAAAACTTTAAAATTTTTTACAATTTTTTTTTCCCACTTAACTTTATTGCTATCACAGAGTAGCGGGAGGGGGGGCGGGCGCACGTCTCGGGGCCTCATACAAGCGATCCGCTGGCTCTAAAGCCGGCGGATCGCTTGTATATTAACGGGCATCGCTGCCTCTTTTCAAATAGCGGAGATTTCCCGCCCGAGCGGGCGGATGTAACAGGACGTGTATACACGCCCAGTTACATCCAAGAAGCTCCCGGCCGGCCGTGTATACACAGCGGCTGGCCGGGAGGTAGTTAAAGAACAGGCAAGGCTTCCCCGGCCTCTGACACTGCCAGAAATGGTGGAGGTGCTTCGAAATATAAAAATAGTACAAAATAAAAAAAATAAAGCATTTCTTTTTTTTATGGGTATACATAATTATCTGGTTAGGCGTAGGGTGGTGACAGGGGCTCTTTAAGGAAAGGAAAAGAAATGTTGCCTAGAGAAGTCAATTAGAATAACCGTTAGTGTATCCGAAAAGGTGTAAGCAGAACGAACCTACTAGATTGTAAGCCCTCTCCAGCAGGGCCCTCCTAGCCCTATTGTACTGAAATTGTGTTGTTATTGTACTCCCCCCCCCATTTTGTGAACTGCCGTGCAAACTGTTGGCCCTTTATAAATCCTGTATAAATAAATCCTGTATAATAATAATAATCATAAATCAGCATCATCAATAACAAGCATGTTTATTAATCTGACTGTGTTAAATAGCTTAAAGCAAATATCTGTGCAGGGTGGCAGCACATTATTTATTTTTGCAGTAAAATAGATGAGAAAACAAAAAAAAGCCAAGAGTTTAAAGGATTATTCCTGTCTGAACCAAAAGTAAGAGTATGTTACAAAAGGGCGTGCGCTGATGGTCACAAATCAGTTCTTAACGAGCGTGCAAATAGCATTGTGTGAATTGGGGATTGGCCATTGTTGGATCGAGTTGCATTGTGTACCATGACCAGTTCAGCCAGAATTACACAGGAGCCAGAGAATGTCAGATATCGGTTTATTTTTTGTCACAAACCCAAACCTTTACTTTGCATTCCAAACACTGAATCCAAAACAAATCATACAAACCAAAAAGGAACGCACACACAAATGAATATGTATTAACCCCGTAGTGACACCGCTTCAGAAATTGTGTTCGTTCCTGTGGACTGGAGCAATTTTGCCATGTGTTTGTTTAACCATAAAAATGGGCTTTAATTCTTCTTATTCTTCTTTTGAAAAATAAAAATGAAAAAAACAAAACAAAAAACACATTTTTCACAGTTTTGGTAATAAGTATGTGTACATAATTAGTTTAGCTAACAAAGTAATTCATAATACATTATTTTATTTGTCCTTATTTATAGGGTACATCATATGTTCGGGATTTCAGTTTATTTTGGGAGTCATAGGTGAAATACAATTTTAGTGTGGAACAATGTGAGAATGCGGTACGTTTGTCTCCCATCTTTAATAGCCTCCTCTGCACTATATTTTATTATCATTTTTTAATTAAATGTATATTTTTTTAAACTTTTTTTCTTTTTTTTAGACTAGGAGGCACTAAGGGGTTATTTATTTACAGGGGCTTTGATAGTTAACATATTTGAGGAGAATACAGTATTCTCCTCAGAGATACTTTGTATCAGTTTGGAACACACAGCCAGCTCCAGCTACATAACATGGTGAGCTGTAATCCGGCTTAGCGACTATCACGATTCTGCGACCACAGCAATCAGCTCTTGCTGGGATCACAGGACTGTGACCACTTAATCTGCTGTTGAGGGTCTGGCTTCGACCCTGAGGGATCTAGCAACAGCAGTAACTCATTGAGCGCTGGTCCCTTCATGGACCAGCGTTCGTTGTACCGCAAGACGAGATTATCCCGTCACCGGTCATTAATTAACTATACGATTGTGACGGTATAATCCCGTCATCAGTCAGGAAGGTGTTGATATTGCAATGTTTACCACTGAATTTTGTCTTTCCTAGTAGATCTTAACAAATATTGTGAGATATTGGCTGTCAGGATTGTGGATGATGTATATATATGTCATCTAGACTTCTAATTAACACATGGTGAGGGGTTCCAAGGTTTATGACTGATATGGAGAAAACAAACAGGATTTTAAAAAGGTCCTTGTCTGGGTCCTGGAGACTTTTTAGAGCGTTGGGTGGGATAAATCCTACACTTCAAGTTTCACATTTTACCTGGTAGCTAAACTTCATTATTGGTTCATTATTATTCATACCTTTATGTATGTGAGCTGACTGATGATCAGGGCCCTCTGTCTTGATGTCTCGGTTTTGGAGGCTCTTGCTGGGTGAAAGGCTGAGTGCTGACAGAATGCTAAAAGGTTGCATGTGCGGCCTGTTTGTTTTGGGTAACCCATTAGGGGGCACCCCGTTAGTCAGGAACTGACAAACATTTACTTAGTGGCTTGGATGAGCAGATATTTTGTTTCTTTTATACTATGGACTTGCTGTACAAATCCATCCAACTGTGTTTGTTTACTGCCTTGCTGTATAAAAGTGCAGGACAAACCTGCTTGGACCGTTCCTGCGTTTCCCTGTCTCCGGCATGGTTTACCGCTGTCACTACCAGCTGAGCCTGTTCTTCAATATCTTCATCGTTTTGTTGCCATTATAAAACTGAAAACAGTAATATATAAAAAGATAGTGGTGGAAATAAAAAGATAGTGGTGTGTGGGATAAACTCCCAATACCAAGTACTTTCCTTATGCAACTGTTATCCTATAACAAACATTGGCAAAGAGTCACCAACAGAAGAATCACCCAAATGCAGCTAGAAGTTGCACATAGAAGTTACTCCCTCACTGGATGAAATGCTGAGGAATTATTATTGATAGCAAGGTGATAAAACAGGTGAAGGTTAGTTGAGTGATATCAATTCTGTCACTGTTGGGCTGAATAGCTACTGTGCCATAGTACAAAAGTAAATCTGTGCTTGACTGAGGCAGAACAAAGTAACAGGTACACTTACGACAAAGCCCTATGCAGATTAAACTAAACCGAGGACTTTCTCCCTGCTCTCACACAACACTTAGGCCTGGTTCACACTGAGCATTTTGTAGCGCTTTTTCTGCCCTAAAAAAATAATAATATGCTCCCCCCAAAAAACCCTATAATTTATTTGGCCCCGTTCACACCTGAGCGTTTTGCCACAATAAGCAAAACGCCTGTCGCTAGAAAAAGTACATAAGCTATTGTTTGGCACGTTACAGCTCGTTTTGGCCCCATAGACTGAATAGGAAATGCTTA